TCATCTTCTGTGACTTGAAGTTTGGTTTCTGGAAAGTTGTCATTCTCCTTCTGTTCTGCTGTGTTACTGTAGTTCTTCATGGCATGTGATGAATTCATCCTCTGCTGGCACATTTATGGTAGTAACCACTGTTCTTATTTGGGTACAACTTTGGTTCTGGGATGCTTCTTATTGCATTTAAGAGCCTGCACTGTCCACACTCTACTGCCTCTGCCGGAGTTGTCATCAATGCTCTTCCCATGCCTCTGAGGTTGTTGGTGACTTGCTGCTTATGATGTCACTGCAGTCTCAGTTGTCACCACTGGGGTCAACATGCTTCCAGCACTTCTGCTGTTTCCAGGGTCACCAGCAACTTGTGTTTCTCCACTGGCTCTCCATAGGCTCAGATGCTGTTGCCCCATGCACCACCTGTGTCTACTGCTCCTAAGTTGTTTGGGCGTGCTGCTTGCCCTGCTGTCAGCAGTACTGGGTTCATGAGTGCTGCTGCCACTGCCTGGGGCCCAGGGACCCAGGGACTTGCATGCAGTCCCTGCTGCAGGTGGTGCTGGTGTTGGGGATGCTCCACTAAGAGCTGGGTCCCCAGTTCTGCTGTGATTTCTGAAGCCTCTGGTGGCAGATTCCACCTTTTACCACTAGCGGGGAGCAGGGGCTAACGAGAGAGAGGTTGTTTTTGCTGTTTGCTGTGCACTCTTTTATATCTGGTGCTAGCTGCCCTGGATTGCTGCTGCTGGGGGACAGTGGCCTTCTCCCCTAGTTTCTCTGCCTCCCAGTGGTCCAATTGTCATACTGGTAAACAGTGCATTTCTATTTTGTAACCTACTTTTATTTTTCATACGATTTAGCAAGCTGGGATTGCAGTAAGGGGTGAAATCCACAGCTTGAACTAGGCATTGAACTTTCAACAAAGTGGCTGTTGATGTGTTAGATAACTAATATGTCACATCTTGGCAATCTGGTTGCCTCAAAACATGACCACCACCTGCCTGATTAGCTTCACAAAGTCCAGTTAAACAATGGTCCCTGCCTGGGGGAGAAACTGGGCCTCTGAAGAGAAAACGCCTTGCCCAGTATCATTTGACATGCAAATGAAAAATTTAAATGGACATTAACATTTCTGGTTCCTCTTTGTTCAAACAATTCAAATTGAGGTAGAGGCCACCAACATGGACTTGGGGGTTATTTAAGAGATGGGGACAAACCCATCATGTCATGGTTTAGGGATCACACAGGGATTGGTCCCAGACTGAACAATATTCAGGTAGTCTGGTCTCTTCTTGAACCCCAATGAGGGAGAATCAAGGAAAGGCAGCTGTGTGCAGAGGGAGCCAGATGTTGGGGTCAGGCTTGTTTTGATTCCATTCCCAGATGGAAACTCACTGGATACTTTGACAATGTTGTTGGATAAATGAATGCAAAAAGAAAATATACAAAAGAATAAAGTTTGACACTTACCACACACCATACACCAAAATGACCTCAAAATGGATCAGTATAACAGCTAATATTATAAAGCTCAGAAGAAAATATAGGGGTAAATCATGACCTTGGGCTTCCAATATTTTCTTAGAAAGAACATTGAAAGCACAATAAACTAAAAAATTAAATACATACATTGGACTTCATTAAAATTAAAAATGGGGCCAGCGTGGTGTTATAGTGATTGGGTTCCCATGCTCTACTTTGGTGGCATGGGTTCACAGGTTCATGGTAGAAATATGCCACTCATCTTTCTTTTTTTAATTTATGTAGTTTTTTTTTTGTTTTATGGATGTTTTCTAAATAAGAGCTTCTCCTGTCAACATTCTTGTGAATGTAACCTTGTGCTTACATACACATTTCCCTATAGGGTATAAACTTTATGGTGATAGCTTTGTGTCTCTTCTTTTTAACTAGATAATTCCAATATATTCCCCAAATTGGTTGAACTAATTTTTAGTCCCACCATTAATGTATTGGAATTCTAAGTGAACCCTATTGTCTACTATATTAGATTTTTTTCTTTCACTTCTCATGTGGATGTGCTAACACAGTAGTGTCATAATTTCATTGAAACTGTGCCATAGCATGGCAGTAGAAATTATCATTTTCCCTGGAAGAAAATGCAATACAGGTCTACATGGTGCTCATAGGGAAGTGTGCTGCAGATGGCTCTTACTCATTTGTGAGGATGATTCTGCTCATCTCCTCCCAACTCTGCATTCAGTGAAGTCACATGGGCACCTTGGTGTTGGCCTTAGAGAAGGATTTACTCCACCAAAACTGGCAAATGCTACAAATCAGGGATTTTTTAAAAAGCCTTTTTTTCAGAGGCAGCGCAACACTGGGCTCTCCCTTCAAACACTAGTGTGTTGATTCCGAATGATGACATTTCTGGGAAAATGACACAGGCAGCATATGATGAAGAAAGAAAGGATTGTGGGGTCCAGAGATGGTGGTAAGCATCACTTCTGATTTATATTTTCCAGACTTCAATTTGATTTTTGCCCATTTATTCAGTTATTGAAATCAAGTCAAGTCCTGTGAACTGAAGAGTTGGATACTCCACAATGTATATCTGGTAATGTGGATATTAGAAATAAAGAAAATTATATTACATAAAAGTGGATGAGAACACAAGGTTTTACATGTGGACCCAAACTGGTCATGTGGGATGTACCCTCATGTCATAGGGGTGAGAAAAAAGAGGGAGTGAGTCAAAGAAGGTCAACAATGGCAGAGAGAGAAAATATGAATTTAATGGCTGAAGAGTCCTTTACAGGGAGTACTCCAGACATTTTCTGTATCCAGCCAGGTTTACTTCCCTTGACATTCTCAGCAGACAGATACCCAAACTTATGGTCCATGCTTGGAGTGTGAATCAAAGTGGAAAGACTAATAACAAATGTGTGAAAACATACCTGATGAAAAGTATTGTCATAAGGATAAGTATCTGTAGATATATATGAATATATAGTATATATTCATAGATGTGTATGTATAAATATATATATAAATATACATAAACACATACATATATGTTTATATGATAGCTGATATACATATAACTACATATATACATAATTATATATATATATACAGAGAGAGAGAGAGAGAGAGAAAGAGAGAGAAGTAAGGTCTCAGTCTGCTCTTCAATAAGAAATAAAATCTTGTCTCTAGGATGTTGGAGGAGGGCAGAGGAGAAGGAGGAACTTAGACTTAGGGGCTTGGTAAAGTGGGGACAGGTCAGGTACAAGTGCCCAGAAGAGGGAGGCTCCATCATCATCTCTCTCTTTTTGGACGAACTCTAGAAAGCCTGATAAAGTATCAAGTAGAGGTGGCTAATCATTTGATTTTTATCTTAAAAGACAACATCTACCCCTTCTTTATCAAAGATCCAGAACCAAGGGAGTCCACAGTTCTGGTTTTCAAATCTCAAGGAACAGAGAAAATCAGTGGAACTATAATATTGAATGAGCACAAAAACAGGAAATCATGTGACTCTCTTACCCAGTTTTGGTATGAAAACCAAGATGGTAGAAAAAGAGAAGGGAAGAAAAAAAGGAAAGAAACACATTAGAGACCAATCCTAATTGTAAACATCCATGCAAAAATTCTAAATAAATATTAACTTACAAAATTCAGAAAATGTGAATGAATGATAAACATTATTCAGTTGGGTTAATATCCAAATGTTGGAAACCAAGAAGCCTTCGTAATGTTATAAATCAAAGAGAAGAGATAATTGTGCAGGAGATGTACAGCTGTCAAGAAAAGAAAGCATTTCTAATAAAACCCTAATGAAACAAGAAAACAAATTGAAAAGGACAGGTGCATAGTGCTATAGATAAAATACAGATTTTTAATGGGTTTGCCTTTAAATAATGTTGTGTATGAGTTAAGCGGTTTTCCTGAGGTGAAGTTCAGGAACATTCTACTCTGTCATCGTTATCATATGGTATTTGGAGTGAGGAAATAGGTATGCAATTTAGAATAAAGAAGTGAAATTTCCTTTTGCTTGTGGCTATTAAATTTTTTATTCATATATCAGAAGAGATCAGTTGAAAACAACTCAAAGGGAGAGAATCTATAGTAAGTGAACAGGACATAAAATTAATATGCTTGAACCAAGAGCTTTCTCATATTCTTAACTCATATTTAGAAAATATAAGGGAATCAAACATCTTGCTCATAAATTAGTAAAGCAGTGGAGCAATTCTTAAAATGGGCTATGAATTGACACAATTTCTGTAAGTAAAATTGAAAATGCTTCTGAAGTTTGACAATAAACCTCATTTGAAATTTTGTGTAATAAGAAGCCTTGATATTAACAAAAAGTTATTCTCCATAATGAAGGTAAGAATTTAACCTAATCCTAATAGTAGAATTACTTATTTTTGAATCAGAAATCTGTATTATATAAATTAAATTTGTAAGTTTATACATTAAACCATTGCTTAAATAGTTATCAAAAAAAGAGCAATGATAGAGAAGTGTGCACAGAAAGTGCAGAGTAGACATGAGCTGCACACAGACGTGCTGTGCAGTAATCTCCTAAGTGATCCTGGTGAGCTGTGCGCCATCCCTCAGTCTCAGGTGTGCACTGAGTGGCTGGAGACCTCCAGGTGAGCACGTGAGGGCTGTGCAGGGTGGTACCCACAGGCAAGGATGCTTCTCTTTATTGGAGAGTGTCCAGGGGGACCTGGGACACCAGAGGTTCAGATTCTGAGATGGGGACATCAGGAGGTGAGTGGTGGGGCCTGTCTTCTACCCTCAGTCCAGTCACATTCCTCCTGGGTTCACTCATGTCTTACTCTACCCTCCGTATTCTTTATCTCTGCTGAGACTTCAGGGATATGGTGCTCCAGGGGTGAGAGGACCCTGTCTCTTTCCACCCTCTCATGAGCTGGACTCTCCTCTGTGGGGTCTCACCCTGTGCCCCTCATTTATTACTGTCTCAGATTTCTTGAGGATAGAGCCCTGAGCCGATTGAGCTGAGAAAGGACAAGGTCAGGGCTGCTCACCTGAGACCATGAGCTCCAGGGTGTCCCTGGGGTGTGATAACAGGTAGGGGCTGGTGCTGTATGAGCTGCAACACCTGTAGGTAACCCCGCAGGCTGAGGTCACAGGACTCGTGGGGAATTGGACCTGGTTCTGCTGAGCTCTGTACTTTGATAGAAGACACAGTAGGGGATCAGCTGTCCCCTCCTTGGACAGAAGGAAAGCATCCCTTGAGCTCCATGTCTGACACAGCAGGGTCACATTCTCTCCTGAGGCCACTGTGGGATGCGGCTGCACTGAGAGGGAGGGTGTGCCAGGGAGCAGCCCTAGAGAGAGGAAGGGTGGGTGAGGGGCTGCCTGCCCACCTTGTTCTAAACTGAGAGTCCCCAGATCTCTCTCTGAGGACCCTCATCTCTGTCTGTCTTGTTTTCTCTGAGTCTCTCCCTCTTTCCACCTATCTTCTGTCTCTCTTAATATCTCTCCCTCCCTGGAGATCCCATGTCTATCTTCCTGGCAGCACTACCTGGAGCTTCCCCAACAGAGCCTGTACAGATTCTGGGTGAATCCACTGGCTCCTCATCTGCCACCAGGATGTCCAAGGGATCGCTGGGGGCTGACTACTCGGGAGAGTGGTTGTGTCCATCATAGCATCTGTACAGGCCCCAGTGGTACCTCTTCACAGGGAGAAGGGGGACATTGGCCTGAGAGAGTCCAGCCTGAGTCTGAGGACCAAGACTCTGGGGGAGGTCATGTGCCCCCTTGTTCTACAGAGCGAATCTGCCATAGCCAACATCAGAGAGACACTGGAGGGTCAGGCTCTGTCCAGAGGCCATGACAGAGCCCTGCTGGGTCAGGATGGAGGGCTTCCCAGACTCATGTGGGAGAAAGGCCACCTGTGGATTGCAGGGGTTGATTCTTCCCATAAACCCCCTTCTCTAGTCCTGCCCCCCAGGTATCACTCTCTCTCACCCTCTGTGTCTCTGGCTCAGGAGCCCATGCTCCCCTCAATCTACACTCTCATCTGGGGCTCCCCTGGGAGCAAAGACCCCAGTAAGCTGTCTGGTGCCACAAAATATGAGTGGGGCAGGATGGAAATTTCTCACCTGGCACCAGGTATTTCACTGGGTTACTGGGATGTGACCACACCTGGTGTTTGTTCCTGTAACAACCACAGCATCTGAAGATCCACCTGTGACTGGAGGCCACAGGGTGCATAGACAACAAGCCTGGAAATGTCTATTGGGGTGTTGCTGTGAATCTAGGGCCCAGGAGTACTTGTGTTCTCCTTCCTTAGAATGAACCTGTCAAATCCCAGCTGTGAGGGTTCCCACCTGAGGTCACCACAGGTGTCGGCAGGGCTGAGAGAGAGGGTTTGCTGTACAATCCTAGGACAGCAGGAGCCAGCGTGTTAAGTGGGGCTCACAGCTCCCACATATCCCCCAGGGCTGGGCTGCGAGTGGGGAGGCACAACTGAGAGCAGACCCCCTTCCTGAGGGTAAAGCCTGAGACTGGGACCCCTGAGTGTCCTCTCACCTGTCACCACCAGCTCCAGGTGTCACTGTGCTCTTTCCAGACAGTGTGGCTAAGATAGTAACAGTGATAGCTCTCTACATAATTCTCTGTCAAGCGTGGGTTGGAGAACTCAGCCTTGTCCCCAGGCTCCAGTGTGTTCTGTCTGCTCCAGGTGAATGAATTTCTCTCTTTAACCAGATATCTAAATATCTGAAAAAACAAGGAAGGAAAAGGAATTTTTGAAAGAAAAACAGAGGTTATACTATAGAAGAATATTTTAGAAATGAATTTGGCAAATAAAGGCAAAAAAATAATACTTTCATTTAACACACTCAAAATATTCTTTTCGTCAAGTAGATGGTACAGCTGAAGATCCAATTATGAAAGTGAAATACAATATTGAGGGAAATTCGTAGGGTGCAATGCACAGAGACTGGAATTATAAAATTAAGATGCATGGAGAATAGAAAGAGAAGGACAATGTATGTTGTGAGTTTCTGGGGGAAATCAGTGAGAATGATGTCTGCGGCAGTCCTAGAGGTAAATGGTGGGCATTGTACAGAGATGTAGAAGGAACATCTAAGTGCTGGGGTGCGTGGATATATCAATGAAATCTGTATTTTGACATTTCATGGCAAAATGAGGGAAATTGTTGGAGAAAAGACATTTCAAAACATGGCAAAGTATATGGGAAAAGTAAATTCATGGAATTAACTGTGTGTATAGAAAAATTCTATGCTCACCCAAATTACTATTAAGGGGCAAAGGTGAAAGGATCAGCAGGGGAGAAATTCGTAAGTGCAAGGAGACCTGGGGCATATTTGGTCTGTTTGGACTCATGTCTCTCATGTTAAACCCGCCATGTCAGTCTTCATCTTTGTGAGAGATGGGGGTTTTGGGGTAGATCCTTAACCATCAGATGCATTTTCCCCTCCTAGTAATTAGTTCTTATACTTTATTTGAAATAAGATAATGTTTTCAAATATCTTCATAAAAATAAAGACTGAAAATAAAGCATTTCAACATATACAAAGTTTTAGATATTTTACTGTTTACCTGGGCACTGAAGCAAACCTAAAGTATGTAAGTAAGCCAAAAGAATAGGAGATGCAAAAGTGAGGAAAAGATGGCAAGACAAATAAACATTGGAAAACTATATTTGTATTTACATGCATATGTACATTTTTATTTACAGAAGCTGAAACAAAATATTTGGAGTGTTTGTGTGTGTGTGTGTGTGTGTGTGTGTGAGAGAGAGAGAGATTTTGAAAGAATGTAAGTATTAAGAGTTCAGCTATTGTGTAATGTCCTTTTCTCATCTAGAGGAGAGGGTGAATAAAAAACTGCTCAAAATTATAAATGTAAATACTAATATTAACAATGGGAATAATTACCTAATATTAGAAACACAATGCATAACCTCCAAACTGGCTGGATGTAATTATATAAAACAAATGAATCTTGATCCAGCCAAAAATGGTCTGGAAATTCGAAATGAAAGCAGCAGAAAGCAGGATATCATAATCCATAATGAACCCATGCTTACATAAGATGGTGGTAATAATTTAAAATTGTTCATTTCTTACCAAATATTAAAAGATTAATTGGCTGACTCAAGGGTTAGATCAAAGTATGTGCCCCTGAAAAACCAGATATGTGCAACAATAAAATCTTATCTGAAACAAAATTATTAAACAGTATTTTAAATCAATAAAAGATGTATTACTATTATTGAATAAAGTTAGCTGATAGATATAGTCAACAAAATTGAATGTAAGAGAAAAATGGTTTTATAAGGAAAAATTATTTTATCATTTTAACTTCTTTTTTTCCTATGAAAAGATCTTTTTTATACTTTTTTTTGTGCCTTCATCTCTCTCTTTTTTTCTTGTGGTTACATTGGTTTATAACATTATATAAATTTCAGGTGTACGTCATTGTATTTCAATTCTTGTGTAGATTACATCACATTCACCACCCAAAGACTAATTATTTTATCTTTTCAAATATTTTATCTTTTAAAATAGTACATTCACCTTCAAGATATAGCGCTCATAAACAACCTTCATCTAATCACTGTTCATGAAATACATAAAGCATAAGTAAATACATAATTGGAGATTCAAAGAAACACTTATAAGATAAAGTGGGTGAAAAAAATGTTTTATAAGAGTAAATGACACACTTAAATGGTTGATCTAATCTGTACAAATATTAGAAAGCTTTGCCTTATTTATGTTATATAAATATGCATGAAATAATTTGTGATATATAGACGTACAAAAATAAGTAAATAAATAATATGGTGTTGTGCATACAGCAATAAGGAGGAAATATGCATATTTAAGGATCATATTGTACCCAAAATGTTAAGCTCTTACTAGGAAAAAAAATCATCTCTGATTGTTTTCAAGTTTCTAGAGTATACATTCTGATCCTTGAGCATGCTGCAATATAAATAGCAATTAACAATAAGAAGCTATTATTAAAACATCCAATACTTCATGAAATTAGTAAACTGTGAAAACATGAACTATTTGTTTAAATATCTAAAATATTGTGAGAAAACAATCGTGAAATTACATCATATTAAAACTTGGAGACTGTCAGAATGAAAAAAGCAGACATACAGAGAGACGTCAACAGGATGGCAGAATAAGAGCTCCTACCATCTTTCCCTCAGAGAACAATGATTTTAACAACAAAAAGCAAAGACGGGTGAACCGTATCTCTGAAATAACCCCCAAGTTCATATTGATGACCTCCACCTCAATTCACATTCATGGGGCATGATGGGCTCAGAAACTTATATGAACTCATATTAATTCCTAATTACATTTCTTGTCATATTGGGCAAAGTGTTCAGAAATCCATTTTCTCACCTGGGAAAGTGGCTCATTGCCTGATTAGACTCAAGCAAGGCTGAACAGGTAAAGGGTGATCACGTTTTGAGGGAAACTCAAAGCCATCGTATGAAAGATTTGCTGTAACAGATAAAGAGCAACTTTGGTAGATATTCAGTGTCTAGTGAAGGCTATGACTTTCTCTATCCTGCTTCAATCCCACCTCACTAAGTGGTATGGAATAGAAACGTAAGTTATGGACAGAACTGGGTTATTTACCAATAACAACAAATAAGCTTATAAGTTAACAAAAGAAAGTCAAGAAGAGCATTGTCTGTGTTCCACAAGACCTTGTGGTTTCCATCTTGAACAAAACGGTCCAAGATATCTTTGTAGTATTCCACCATTTTTAATAATTATTTTTTCAGAGAGCTGGTTTACCAGTACACCACCTGATTTTCACTTGAAACACCAGTGTGCTCATTCAAACTGTTGGTATTTCTGGAGAAACTATACCAGGTATCTTCAGATGAGGAAAGCGGGGTTTAAAGGTTCCAGAGCGGGTTTTAGAGAATTATTGTGGATTTATCTGTTCTAATCTGGAACCAATTTTCACCTGCTTATTCAGTTATTTAAAACAGATTCTGTGTTCTGAGCTGAAGAATTGCAAACATCAGGTAATGTGGTAAATAAAAAAAGAGGAAAATGTATTACATGAAAGTGGACAAGAGCATGAAGGTGAATACAGGTGTGGACCTAAACTTGCCTTGTGGAGGTAGCCTCATGTCACAGGGGTGAGAAAAGGACAAACAATCGTGGTATGGGGGGAAATTGCCACAGTTTCCTTACAGAAAATCCTCTACAGGAACAACCAAGACATTTTCCTGCACCTGAACCATGTTTACATTCTCAGTATTCTAAGCAGACAGTTCCCCCAATTTTGTGCCCCAGATTTTCTTTCAGAACCTCTTAGTATCGTTATATTTATTTCAGAAGTTCTACCTCATTAATAGTGGGTTTGTTTTCTCTTGTGTTTATCTCCTGGCTGCAACTTGGGTCCTTGTCCGACTGTGCTGGGTTTGAAACAGCAGCACCCTGAGAACCAGCATGGTCAAGGCAGACACTCCCATCCCGATGAGATTCTCCACTGTGTAATTTTGGTTGTTTGAACCTAGAGATTGAGGACAAAGAGGTAATAGTCATCAGGGTAGACTGAAATCACCCCAGAATCCCTGTACATCCATCCATGGCACCTGCCCTCTGTACCCAGCCCCATAGTGAGAGTTTATCCTTACTCATCCCTTTTGGAGTCTGACTTGTTTTGTGATGGTCTGCGAGTATCTGCTACTCTTGAGAGCCAAAAATAGAGAGTCTGCGTGAGGAGACTTAGGCAAGCTTAGGTTACTTCTTTTCTGGTCTACAATGAAACTCAAAAACTGGCTAACGTCAATCTCAATCTTTTGAAGGGAGCATCCCCACTGTCTCATCTTCCGTCTAATTAGGATACAAAGACGAACATTAGGGGCTTCATTTTGAAGTGAGAATCAGGAATGCCTCCATTTTAGCCAGCTCTTTGTCTCTCTAGCTCAGGATTACATATTTCACATCATTTTCTTTACTTTTATCCACCAGCATATTCTTTTAGAAAATAAATGATGGAATATCTAAACACATCAGACAATTTTTCTTGAATCAAGGATAACCACACTTAACATAACTTCTTTTTTTTAAATTAAGATTATGATAGATTACAACCTTGTGAGATTTCAGTTGTATATTATTGTTAGTCATGTTGTGGGTACACCACTTCACCCTTTGTGCCCTCCCCCCACCCCCCCTTTTCCCTGGTAACCACCGATCAGTTCTCCTTGTCTATATGTTAACTTCCACCTATGAGTGGAGTCATATAGAGTTCGTCTTTCTCTGTCTGGCTTATTTCGCTTAACATAATACCCTCAAGGTCCATCCATGTTGATGCAAATGGAACAATTTGGTCCTTTTTTATGGCTGAGTGGTATTCCATTGTGTATATATACCATATCTTCTTTATCCAGTCATCAGTTTCTGGGCATTTAGGTTGGTTCCACGTCTTGGCTATTGTAAATAATGCTGCGATGAACATAAGGGTGAATAGGACTCTTGGGATTGCTGATTTCAGGTTCTTAGGATAGATACCCAGTAGTGGGATGGCTGGGTCATAGGGTATTTCTATTTTTAACTTTTTGAAAAATCTCTATACTGTTTTCCATAGTGGTTTGCATTCCCACCAACAGTGTATGAGGGTTCCTTTTTCTCCACAACCTCTCCAACATTTGTCACTCTTGGTTTTGGAGATTTTTGCCAATCTAATGGGTGTAAGGTGATATCTTAGTGTAGTTTTGATTTGCATTTCCCTGATGATTAGTGATGATGAACAACTTTTCATGTGTCTATTGGCCATCCGTATATCTTCTTTGGAGAAATGTCTGTTCAGGTCCTCTGCCCATTTTTTGATCGTGTTGTTTGTTTTTTTGTTGTTAAGCTGTGTGAGTTCTTTGTATATTATGGAGATTAATCCTTTGTCAGATAAGTAGCTTGTAAATATTTTTTCCCAATTAGTGGGCTGCTTTTTGGTTCAATCCTGTTTTCCCTTGCCTTGAAGAAACTCTTTAGTCTGATGAAGTCCCATTTGTTTATTCTTTCTATTGTTTCCCTCATCTGAGGAGTTATAGTGTCCAAAAAGATTCTTTTGAAACTGATGTCAAAGAGTGTACTGCCAATATTCGCTTCTAGAAGACTTATTGTTTCAGGCCTAATCTTTAGGTCTTTGATCCATTTTGAGTTTATTTTTGTGAATGGTGAAAAAGAATGGTCAATTTTCATTCTTTTACATGTGGCTGTCCAGTTTTCCCACCACCATTTGTTGAAGAGACTTTCTCTTCTCCATTGTAGGCCTTCAGCTCCTTCGTCAAAGATTATCTGTCCATAGATGTGTGGTTTTATCTCTGGGCTTTCAATTCTGTTCCATTGATCTGTGCACCTGTTTTTGTACCAGTACCATGCTGTTTTTTTTTTTTTTAAAAGATTTTATTTTTTCCTTTTTCTCCCCAAAGCCCCCCAGTACATAGTTGTATATTCTTTGTTGTGTGTCCTTCTAGTTGTGTCATGTGGGACGCTGCCTCAGCGTGGTTTGATGAGCAGTGCCATGTCCGCGCCCAGGATTCGAACCAACGAAACACCGGGCCGCCTGCAGCGGAGTGCGCGAACTTAACCACTCGGCCATGGGGCCAGCCCCCCAGTACCATGCTGTTTTGATCACTGTAGCTTTGTAGTATGTTTTGAAATTGGGGATTGTGATGCCTCCGGCTTTGTTTTTCTTACTCAGGATTACTTTAGCAATTCGCGGTCTTTTGTTGCCCCATACGAATTTTAGTATTCTTTGTTTAATTTCTGTAAAGAATGTCCTTGGGATTCTGATTGGGATAGCGTTGAATCTGTAGATTGCTTTAGGTAGTATGGACATTTTAACTATGTTTATTCTTCCAATCCATGTGCATGGAATGTCTTTCCATCTCTTTATGTCGTCGTCAATTTCTTTCAAGAAAGTCTTGTAGTTTTCAATGCACAAATCTTTCTCTTCCTTGGTTAAATTTATCCCAAGATATTTTATTCTTTTCATTGCGATTGTGAATGGGATTGAGTTCTTGAGTTCTTTTTCTGTTAGTTCATTGTTAGTGTATAGAAATGCTACTGATTTATGTATGTTGATTTTATACCCTGCAACTTTGCTGTAGCTGTTGATTGTTTCTAATAGTTTTCCTAAGGATTCTTTGGGGTTTTCTATATATAAGATCATGTTGTCTGCAAACAGCGAGAGTTTTGCTTCTTCATTGCCTATTTGGATTCCTTTTATTTCTTTTTCCTGCCGAATTGCTCTGGCCAAAACCTCCAGTACTATGTTGAATAGGAGTGGTGAAAGTGGGCACCCTTGTCTTATTCCTGTCCTCAGAGGGATGGCTTTCAGTTTTTGTCCGTTGAGTATGATGTTGGCTGTAGGTTTGTCATATATGGCCTTTATTATGTTGAGGTACTTTCCTTCTATACCTATTTTATTGAGAGTTTTTATCATAAATGGGTGTTGGATCTTGTCGAATGCTTTCTCTGCATCTATTGAGATGATCATGTGGTTTTTGTTTCTCATTTTGTTAATGTAGTGTATCACGTTGATTGACTTGCGGATGTTGAACCATCCCTGTGTCCCTGGTATAAATCCCACTTGGTCATGGTGTATAATCTTTTTGATGTATTGCTGTATTCGGTTTGCCAGAATTTTGTTGAGGATTTTTGCATCTATGTTCATCAGTGATATCGGCCTGTAGTTCTCCTTCTTTGTGTTGTCCTTGTCGGGTTTGGGGATCAGAGTGATGTTGGCTTCATAGAATGTGTTAGGGAGTACTCCATCTTCCTCAATTTTCTGGAATAGTTTGAGAAGGATAGGTATTAAATCTTCTTTGAATGTTTGGTAGAATTCTCCAGAGAAGCCTTCTGGTCCTGGACTCTTATTTTTGGGGAGGTTTTTGATTACTGTTTCTATTTCTTTACTTGTGATTGGCCTATTCGGATTCTCCATTTCTTCCTGGTTCAGTTTGGGGAGGTTGTAAGAGTCTAGGAATTTGTCCGTTTCTTCTAGGCTGTTCAATTTGTTGGCATATAGTTTTTCATAGTATTCTCTTATGATCCCTTGTATTTCTTTGATATCTGTTGTGATTTCTCCTCTCTCATTCCTAATTTTATTTATTTGAGATTTCTCTCTTCTTTTTTTTGGTGAGTCTGGCTAAGGGTTTGTCGATTTTGTTAATTTTTTCAAAGAACCAACTCTTTGTTTCATTGATCCTTTCTATGGTCTTTTTTGTTTCAATATCGTTTATTTCTGCTCTTATTTTTATTATTTCCCTCCTTCTACTGACTCTGGGCTTTGTTTGTTCTTCTTTTTCTAATTCTATTAGGTGTCATTTGAGATTGCTTAGGTGAGCTTTTTCTTGTTTAGTGAGCTGAGCCTGTATTGCAATGAATTTCCCTCTTAGGATTGCCTTTGCTGCATCTCAAATGATTTGGTATGACATGTTCTCATTTTCATTTGTCTCCAGATAATATTTGATTTCTTCTTTAATTTCTTCAATAATCCATTGTTTTTCAGTAGCGTGTTGTTTAGTCTCCACATTTTTGCACCTTTCTCTGCTTTATTCTTATAGTTGATTTCTAGTTTCATAGCATTGTGATCAGAAAAGATGCTTGATATTATTTCAACTCTCTTATATTTATTGATGCTTGCTTTGTTTCCCAAAATATGGTCTATCCTTGAGAATGTTCCATGCGCACTTGAGAAGAATGTGTAACCTGCTGTTTTTGGATGAAGTGTTCTATATATATCTATTAAGTCCATCTGGTCTTTCTCATTTAATTCTATAATTTCCTTGTTGATTTTGTCTGGATGTTCTATCCATTGGTGTTAATGGGGTGTTGAGGTCCCCTACTATTACTGTATTGTTGTTGATGTCTTCTTTTAGTTCTGTTAAGAGTTGCTTTACAAATTTTGGTGCTCCTGTGTTGGGTGCGTATATATTTATAAGTGCTATGTCTTCTTGGTGGAGAGTCCCTTTTATCATTATATACTGACCCTCTTTGTCTTTCTTTATCTGTTTTGCTTTAAAGTCTACTTTGTCTGATAGTAGTATAGCAACACCTGCTTTCTTTTGTTCATTATTAGCTTGGAGTATTGTCTTCCATCCCTTCACTCTGAGTCTGTGTTTGTCTTTGGGGCTGAGGTGTGTTTCCTGGAGGTAGCATATTGTTGGGTCTTGTTCTTTGATCCATCCTGCCACTCTGTGTCTTTTGACTGGAGAGTTCAATCCATTTACATTTAGAGTGATTATTGAAATGTGGGGGCCTACCGCTGCCATTTTATTTCTTGTTTTCCGGTTCTCTTCAATTTCCTTTGTTTCTCATCCCATGGTTTAATCTGTTCTGATGGAGAGCTGCTACTCTCTGTGGTTGTCCTTCTACTTATCTCCTTTGCTCTTGGTTTTGTAGCCCCTTTCCTTTTTTTGATTTTTCAGGAATGAGGGTTTTCCTGAGCATTTCTCGAAGAGGAGGTTTTCTGGCAATGAATTCCCTGAATTTTTGTTTATCTGGAAAAGTTTTTATTTCTCCATCGTATTGGAAGGATATTTTCGCTGGGTAGAGAATTCTTGGCTGCAGGTTTTTGTTCTTCAGATTTTTGAATATATCATTCCACTCTCTTCTAGCCTGTAAAGTTTCTGCTGAGAAATCTGCTGATAGCCTGATGGGGGTTCCTTTGTAGGTTAATTTCTACTGCCTGGCTGCCCTTAGTATTTTCTCTTTGTTGTTGACTTTTGCTAGTTTCACTACTATATGCCTCAGGGTTGGTCTCCTTGCATTCATAAAGTTTGGAGATCTATTGGCTTCTGTCACCTGAAGATCCATCTCTCTCCCCAGGTTTGGGAAGTTCTCAGCCATTATTTCTTTGAATAGGCTTTCTGCCCCCTTCTCCCTCCCTTCTCCCTCTGATATACCTATAATCCTTATATTGCATCTCCTAACTATGTCAGATAATTCTCGGAGAGTTTCTTCATTTCTTTTTAGTCTTAGTTCTCTCTCCTCCTCTGCCTGCAGCATTTCTATATTCCTATCTTCCAAATTGCTAATTCTTTCCTCCATATTATCAGCCCTACTGTTCAGTGCATCTAGATTCTTCTTAATCTCCTCTATTGTGTTCTTCATTTCCAGTATTTCTGTTTGGTTCTTCTTTATAGTATCGAACTCTTTTGTGACATAGCTCCTGAACTCGTTGAGTTGTCTATCTGAATTCTCTTTTAACTCATTGAGTTTTTTAGTGATGGCTGTTTTGAAGTCATCATCATTTAGGTTGTATATTTCATTGTCTTTGGGATTGTTTTCTGTGTATTTGTCATTTTCCTTCTGTTCCTTCTGTATATTTTTTCATATTGCTTGGTGGTGTAGATTTGTGCCTCCGCATAGAGATAGAGTTTAGTTACTGCTTCCACTTGTTTCTACTGGTGTGGTAGGGGGACAACTGTTTATACTGCACCAATCAGGAACCCTATCAGCTGTTGCTAACTGGGCCTGGGCCCCTCCTCATAGTCACAGTGGTCCGGTGGGTTCCCTCTTCAGCTGTGGGGGCTGTCACAAGGCGGCTTCAGGCTGCTGGTGCCTACTGTTGCAGACCACCTAGACGTGCTCCCTCCTTAGGGTCTGCAGCTGTGTTATGGACTTTCCCAGCGGCCAGGGGCAGGATCACTTATATTTCCAGCTCTGTCACTGTCAGCGCCCACAGAATCTCACTTGTCCACTATGGGTCACAGCAGAGCTATGGGCATCTTCTGCAGTCTGTGGTTAGCTCACCTAGCTATGCTTCTTTTGTCCCAGGGTCTTCCAGCCTTGTGGTTGCTGGGTGGGTGCTCTCTACTAGTGCTGTGCAGAGGCTATCGCTGAGGCTGCTGTGAGACTGTAGAGTTTCCCCCTGGGCCACGGAGCCAGGTCACTGGAACTCCACCCAGCCCCAGTCCTCTCCCCTAGGACCTTGGGGAGCTCCTTGCCCTGTCTGGGGGATAGCCGGAGACCTTGAGTTCAGTGGCAGCTGGCCGGCTGCTGCTCTACCTGGGATTCTCCTCTTCGGGACCCTCCTGGGGTTGTGGATGCTGGGTGGGGCCTCTCTGCTAATGGCAGGTAGAGACTTTGCCTGCTGCCTGGATGGAACTCCAGAGTTTCCCCCTGGGCCACGGAGCCTGCCGCTGGAGCTCCACCCAGCCCCAGTCCTCTCCCAGGAGATCTCTGGTAGCCCCGAGCTCTGCCGAGGTGAAAGCCCGATCAGTGGGGCCAGCGGCAGCAGCTGGTGGGCTGCTGCCCCATTTGGGATTCTCTCCAGGAGCCTCCCGGCGTTGTGGATGCTGGACGGGGCCTCTCCACTAATGGCAGGTAGGGGTTTTCCCCGCTGCCTCCGGTGTGTAACTCTGGAGCTTCCCTCTGGGCTTAGGTGTAATTGCAGGGGGCTTAGGTAGGGCACTGGTCACCTGTTTCCACTGTCACTCCTCAGGTGTGCGCTCCCTCCTGCCCTTGGTGTGTGGTGATGTTCTGGGGGCGTCGCTGGAAGAAAGCCGCCTGCAGGTACTAGGCTGTTTGGGGGTCGGGGTCGGAGAGTTTTCACCTATCTCCACCTCCTCCCAGAGGGAAGTCCATCCACCTTCCAATGTATAGCAGCTTGGGTCTCTCAGGCGTCCTGAGATGCTATATGGATATCCTTTGTTAAGCAATGAATGTCCAATTAGTTGTAGACTCGAAGGGGGAGAGACAAAGAAGACTACTCATGCTGCCATCTTGGATCTTCTCTTCAGGGAGACATTTTGATGGGGGGCTGGGGTCTTCTGAGGGACACAGCCTTAAGCTGCTAAACGTCATGCTAGGGTTTGGTGGTCTCTTAGTGCAGAGGTTTGGGTGGGCTTCTGCAGTTCTCACCAGGAGGCCTTCTCTGAGCAAGATAACTCCTTGTGGATCTCCATCTGTGAAGTGTGATGGCGTTTGGAAACTGGAGCATTAGTGTCTCATCCATGCACTCCACGAGATCCTTAACATAACTTCTAATTATTCTTCCAGATTATAGGCTAGGTAGGAAGGTTGACAAGAAAGAAGCAAAAAAGATAAATGATAGAAAATATTTAGATGGATACATGGACACATAAATATAAAATAGGCTTTGATAATTTGACCTAAGCAATACCTAGTAATACCAGGTAACACTGGGAGAGAGGAAGGGAATACTAAACTTGAGTTCTTATGAGAGATGTTTTGGAGGATGACCTGATCTGGCTGACAACCTGGTGCTCATGGAAATTGGGAATAAATCCTTCTTTCTTCTTTCCTCTGCATAGTGACTGTGGTCCCTAGTGGAGACAGGACATGTTCATAGTGGATATAAGTCCCCAGAAAAGGATTTATGCACATTCTTCCACAGAAATTCACTGGCAGAAAAATTCAGCACTAATTCAGCCTTTTGAAATCCAGGATAGATTCTACTTTGGAGAGATGATAAAATAAAGTTTCAGATATGGATAGAATTTTGTCAATGTCTCAACCAAGAGTGCCTGAGCCAACTCAACTTCAGCTTATGACTTCCAGTGAATCCTCCAACCTCCTTTACCTGAAATTGAAAGATTATCTTTACTCTACCAAAGGTTCCATGGTGACTCTCATTGACCTCTAGAAATCAGCACCATGGACAAAGATTCTCTTTGCTCCTCACCTCAGCTGAGGGTCTTCTCTTTCATGCATTTCCTCACATACTGACCACGTGCTTTCCCCCTTGATGCCACCACAGGACCTGGCTGGGCTGAGTGGGAGAGTGTGCCCTACAATCCTGAGAAAGAAGGAAGGATCTTGTTAAAGGAGGATCATCAGCCCACATATCCCAGGTGTGGTCTGCGAGGGCTGACATCCCTTGAGACCACAGTACATTCCCTTCTGCCTGTGAGGAGGAGCCCACAGTGGCAGGGGACCCGGCTTTCCCCTTATCTGTCACCACCAGGGGCAGAGGGTCATTCTGCTTTCACCGGCCATTCCTGCTGATATGCTATGCACATCGAAATAGCCCTGCAGCATGGGAGTTCATAGATTCAATGAAGAAATCAGTCCTTTTGCTGGAGTCCTGTGGGGCCTCTGTGTCCCAGTGTTCAGAGGCCCTGTCTTTATATAGGATGGTAGACATTGGCCTGCAGAGATCTCCCATTCCAGATGCTCACAGGGCTCCCCATGGAGACCATAGGACCTGGATCAACCCAGATGGAGGATTGTGGGGGGAACTCCTGGAAAGGAATCAGACCTGAAGTGTCAGGGGAGCCCTTCACAACCTCAGCTCCCCAGCAGTTACTCAAAGGCCCTTCACAGACTGGTCACCAACAAATCAGACCCTCTGTCCTCCTATCAGAAGCCCAGGGGCTTCATTGGTCTAAAGCAGGAGGTGAGGTTGGGGACTCACTGCCTGTACCCGGTCCCATGGGCCGCACCACAGCCCTGGAAGTGAGTTTCCTGTGAGAGTACATCCTGTGAGTACATCCACTCACCTACACATAGAAACTTCAAGCCTGGTCTGGGGTCCTTAGTGCTGGGGTCAGATCTCAGGCTGAGCACATCTCTCCTGCCCAAAGAATTTCTGCCACAACTGATCCTTCTGAGTCCTGGGGTGACAGTAATCAGGATCTGGGAGAGGAGGAGACCTCATCCCCTGCTTTTCCAAAAAACTCACAGAGGCAGAGAAGGGCAATGACTGCTGGGGATCTCCGTACTGGCTTCAGTGGTCACCACTGTTGCATATGACTTATAAAGAGCACAGAGCCTGCAGGCAGACAGATGCACAGGGAGTGAAAAGGTCTAGGCTGCATGTGACATGTCATGGTTTCCTCATCGGTGGCTTCCTGGGAAGAGGAACAGCCCCTCCCAGGAACTTGATCTGGTCTCCCTGAAAGATGGAGCCAAAGACACAGCAGAGTCTCTGGGCCATCCAGACCGTCTTAATTTCACTAGACCCCACACACTCTGTCTCCACTTTGTGCCAAACCAAATCCAGAGAGTGACACTTATCCTAGAACATGAGGGTAAGAGGGTGCAAGGCAGGATCTAGGAGCCAGCCAATTTCAGTTCAACTTCTCACTCTGCCTTTTATAGAAGCTCTGTGACCTGAGGTAAATCACTTCTCTTTCCTGAGACTCCAAACATGCAAAATTTCTTCCTTCACTTCACCATCCAGGCATCAATGAGTGTTTACTGAGTAGTTGCCATGTTTATGCATGAGATATGTGGGTGAAGCTCACTAATTCCTTCCGTGGACTCATGGAGCTATGGTTAGTGACAAGAGGCAATACAGATATTTAGACAATGGATAATTTGGCTATCGTTTTGGTAAGTTGTAGAGAAAAAGAAAAACTGAAAGCAGAGACTCAGCAATAGGTGGATGTCTAGCAATCTTAGTGATGGGAGTGTGGGGAGCTTCTGGAGAAGGAGAGATGAAGGCAAGAGAGAGTTAGCGCAAGTGAGATGAGGGATTGACATGCTTGACCAGGAAGAGGGACAACTAGTCTAAGAACTGAGTAATCAGGTAACACTGCATCCGGGTCACACAGATCTTCTGTACCCCGAAAGTATTCTTGGATTTTTTCTTTCAGGTACCAGGAAAATTTTCAGTAAAGGAACATATGAACTGCTTGCTGTTTTCAGAAGAGCATCATTCTGTAGGGATTGTTCTGTAGGAGGACTGTAATGATCCTAAACAGTGATAAAACTTTATCATTAATCTAGTGATGTGTCAATCAGTATTCTAAGAGTGTTACAAGGATTTCTCATGTAACCCTTACTCAAACCCTACAAGAAAAATACATTCATAGTTGAGTGGGATGAGGCAGGAAGAAGTTTTCATCATTATCATGGTCTAGGAGGTTTGGAAAGGAGTCTCTGTGTTCAAATTGGCTCAGGGAGCTGCCCATGAGAAGGCACAAATGTGGTAATTACTCAGGTTGTGTGAGTGTCTGGTGAGGGGAGGTGGTCAACTGGGATGAGTTTGGTTTGTAGGGAGGAGCTGGCTTTGCTGGGGCTGGAGAGTTTAGCCCAGTTGGATCATCAACCTCAAGAATTGTCAGGTGGAGATAGTTGGAATTTTCTTGAAGGAATGAGGAGACCTGTGGAAGGGTTTTGTGCAGGGGAGGGTCAGTGACAGATAAGCTTGAGGCCATGAGAGTAAAACACATCATCAGGGAGTGAGGGCCAGAGGCAGAGGGCAGGAAGGAGGCTGATGATGTGGCACTAACAAGGCGTCTTGAGTCTTTAACTGAACTTGACTGCCGTGATGGACCAGGGTCATGGAAAGAAGGGCTCAGGGGCAGAACTGCTGAATTTACTCATAGTGTGTGAGGTGGGAGAGAGTGAAGAATTGAGGGCTCTTCTATGTCTTACTTGACTGGAGGAGCCAATGGGGCTTTAACAGGATGGATGACCCTAAGAGGAGAAGGAGGCTTGGGGAGATGTTTACAATACTGTTAACTGAATTACAGAGGGAACTATCACCTCCCTCCTGTCCTGGGTCTGTGGTTTTTTTTTATCCCAAGCACTTCTCTCTGACTTTCTTGTTTGTATAAGCAGCAGCACCTTCTCTCCATCACTCTCCTTCAAAACCTCTGAGTCATTCCTGCCTCCTCCCTAGCTGTTGTCCTCCAGAAAATAACTCTTCATCTGATACTGTGGATTCTGTTTCCATGCTTTGGGAAATGCACTAGCCAGAGACAATTCACAGGTTTGTTTATGGTGTTTTTCTATTCTTCAGTTGATGGACATTTGGGCTGTTGTCACTTTTTGTCCATTGTAAACAGTTCTTCTATGAACACAGTTGCATAAGTGTTTATTAGAATATCTGTTTGCAATCATTTTCCTTCTCTTTGTTGTAGTAAGAGCATTTAACATGAGATTTACCTCTTTACAAAGTTTAGTGTACAGTATGGAATTATTAACTATAGGAACATAGTTGTATGGCAGATCTCTATAATTTATCAGTTTTGCATAACTGAAACTTACACCTGCAAGGAGAATTTTTAGACCATATGCTAATTCTGGGTCTAATTTTTTGAGGAATGGCCAAACTGCTTTTCTGAGTAGATGAACCATTTCACATACTCACCAGCAGTGTATGCAAATTCAGATTTCTCCACATACTCACCAACACTTCTTTTTTTTTTTTTTCAAATTATGGCCAAACCAGTGGGTGTGAAGTAGTATCTCATTGTGGTTTTATTTGAATATCCCTAATGACTAATGAGTTGACCATCTTTCATAAGTTTGCTGCCCCCTTGTATTTCTTTTTTGTAGAAATATCTATTCAAGCCATTGGACTATTTTTTAATTGGATTATTTAATTGGATTGTTTTTGGTTGTTGAGATAAAAGTATTCTTTATATATTGTGGATAGTAGATCCTTATTAGATATATGATTTGCAAATATTTTTTCCAATTTTGTGAGTTGTCTTTTACACTCTTAATCATATTTTTTAATGCACACACATTTTAAATTTTCGTGTATTTTTTCATTTGCATCTTGTCCTTTTAGTGTCATATCTAAAAACTATTGTCAAGTCTGAGTTTATGAAGATTTACTCTATGTTTTTCTCATATTGCCACCTTGAAGTTGGCCATGAAGGGAGAATATGCACCCTAGAAACTGGAAAATGCCTTGAATCAGTGTTTTTCACGGTGGGTTTCTCAGGAGCAGTAAGAAATGTGCTATCACTTCAAACAGCAAGTCTTTATTCCAAGTCATGATATTTCCAAAGAAACTACACAGGTAGCATCTGATCAAAAGTGAAGTGCTTGTGGAGTCCAGAGAGGGCGTTAGGGCACCATTTTGGATTGACCTCTTTCAGGCTGGATCTTTGTTATTACAATTTATTGATTTATTAAAACAGATTGCATGTTCTGAAAGGAAAAACAGATAACTCAACAGTGGTCAGGAAGAAAAGTTCCACAATTTAATGGAAGAAGAGTCTAGACATTGTCCCTGCACAGGAACAATGATTCCTCCACCTCGCAATGACCTGCAGACAGTTCACTCAGCATATGCCCCAGATGGCCTTCCAGAAACTTCTGGGAACAAAAAATTTATTTCCAAGGCTCTACCAATCTGAACAATGCATTGTTCTCTCCTGGCTGCATCTTAGGGTCTTCGTGGTCTGTGACAAGCTTGAAATAGAAGAATCCCAAGGACAACCAGGACCAAACCAGCCATGCCCATCCGGATGAGGTTCTCCACTGTGTAATCTTGGGGATGTGAGGCTAGAAATTGTGGACAGAAAGTTCACAGAGGTCAGGGAAGAGCAAAATCGCCCCAAGATCCTTGATTGTCCACCCAGGGCACCTGCCTCCCCTTGAGAGGACATGACCCTCTGTGCCACCTCCATAACTGAAAATTTCCCCTACTCACCATTCTTTGAGTCTGACTTGTTTTGTGATGTGCAGATGGTGTCAGATCCTTCTGAGAACCAAAAAACAAAAAACAAAAAAAAGTGGGGATGGATGAGGTGTTGATGAGTCTCAAGCCTTTCCCCTGTGAGCTGGAGTCTTAAAATTCTCTCTGTTTCTCATGACATAACTTATGCAGTCCCTTCATAACCCTTTCTCTGCTGTGGAAGAATTCCCTCTGTTCTCATTGGATTCTTTCAACCTCCCTTTGTTTTTGAATTTAGACTTTGCTTCTGAGTCTCTTTGGACCAGAGTTTTGATGTGCCCCAAGAACTCAGAATTGATGAGAAAAATGATCACCCAGTACAGAAATAATGGAGTTCTTGTATGCTCTCTTTTCATTCTGGGATGTGGATCATGTAAGCTAACTCTTCTAGGTATGAGAGCTTCTATTTATTCACCGACTGAGGACCCAGGATCAACAGATGAAGGGTTGGTCATTCATATATGTGAGAAAGAGAGGTAATTTAATTCATACAGCATAAGTTGTGTTAAACACATGAAATAAATTGGGTAAGAGGGAGGTAGGTCTGTTTTGAACAGTATCACAGTGACGGTCATGCTTGGAGATGATATTTAAGTTGATGCTTGGATAGGAGAAGGAGCCTGAGGGGAGTCATGTGAAGACCCAGAGGAGGCACACCACAGGCTGCAGGAAGAGCTGGTACCCAGAAAGATCTCAGTCTGTTCTTAAATAAGGAATAAAGTCATGTCTGCGGGATGTAGACAGAGTCCAGAAGAGAAAGAAGAGCTGAGATTCAGGGTCTTAGTGCACTCAAGACAGACCAGAAATGACAGGACAGATGAGAGAGGCCCCATCACCGTCATCATCACCATCCTCCTCTACCTCCTCCTCCTCCTTCTCGTTCTCTCTCTCTCTCTTTGGAAGAATTCTGTAAACCACTATAAGATTTCAAGGAGAGAAGACAAATCATTCAAATTTATGTTTGAAATATTTCATGATAAAATGCTGAGTAAGACAGTGGGTTGCAAGAATGTGTGAATTTCCCAGCTTCTTAGAAATTGAAATCATGTGATGGTTAATGGCATTCAATAAACAGTAAATGAATGAATAGAAGAGATAACATCTACACTCTCCATATCCTATATCCAGAACCAAGGAAGTCCACAGTTCGGGTTTTCAAAGCCTTAAAGGAACAGAAAAAATGAGTGGTATTATAAAATTGGACGAGCACAAAAACTAGGTAATTCTGCAAATCTATTTTAACCAGTTTTAACAAAAAAAAAAAAGAAAAAGGAAACAAATTGTAGATCAAGTATAATTATACATCTCCATGCAAAAGTTCTAATGAAGCTTATGCAAGTCAGAATGTATGAAACAACAATAAAAGTCATTCAGTGGGGTTAATATCCAAGTTTTTGATACTAAGAAGTCTTTATTTTTTTGAGGAAGATTAGCCCTGAGCTAACTACTGCCAATCTTCCTCTTTTTTGCTGAGGAAGACTGCCCCTGAGCTAACACCCATGACCATCTTCCACTCATTTATATGTGGGCCACCTACCACAGCATGGCGTGCCAAGCGGTGCCATGTCTGCACCCGAGATCGGAACCGGCAAACCGCGGGCCGCAGAGAAGTGGAATGTGAGAACTGAACCACTTAACCACTGCACCACCCAGCCGGCCCCAGAAGTCTTTATTTTTTATTAAGGTAACATTGGTTTATAACATTGTATAAATTTCAGGTGTACATCATTATATTTCGATTTCTTTTTAGATTACAGCATGTTCACCACCCAGAGACTAATTACAATCCATCACCATGTGCCTAATCATTCTTTTTGCCCTCCTTCCTCCCCCCTTCCACTCTGGTAACCACCAATCCAATCTCTGTCTCTATGTGATTGTTTGTTGTTGTTTTTGCCTTCTATTTATGAGTGAGATCATACTGTATTTGACTTTCTCCCTCTGACTTACTCTGCTTAGCATAATATCCTCAAGGTCCATCCATGTTGACACAAATGGCGAGATTTCAGCATTATTTATGGCTAAGTAGTATTCCATTGTGTATATATATAACACCTTCTTTATGCATTCATCCTTTGTTGGGCACCTAGGTTGCTTCCAAGTCTTGGCTATTGTTAATAATAATGCAATGAACACAGGGGTGCTTGTATCTTTATGCATTTGCGTTTTCCTCTTCTTTGTTTAAATGCGCAGCAGTGGAATAGCTGGATTATATGGTGGTTCTATTCTTAACATTTTGAGGAATCTCCTTACTGTTTCCCATAGTGGCTGCACCAGTTTGCATTTCCACCCATGGTGTATGAGAGTTCTCTTTTCTGAGACAACACATTATTTCCTGTCTTGTTAATTGTAGCCATTCTGATGGGAGTGAGGAGACGTCTCATTGTAGTTTTGATCTGTATTTCCCTCATCGTTGGTGATGTTGGACATCTTTTCATGTGCCTGCTGGCCATCTCTATGTATTCTTTGGAGAAATGTCTGTTCAGATCTTTTGCCCATTTTTAAAATTGGGTTGCTAGTTTTTTTGTTGTTGAGATGCATATGTTCTTTACATATTTTCAATATTAACCCCTTATCAGATATTATGGTTTGCAAATATCTTATCCCAATTGTTAGATTGTCTTATCACTTTGTTGATGGTTTCTTCTGCTGTGCAGAAGCTGTTTAGTTTGATGTAGCCCCATTTGCTTATTTTTCCTCTTGCCCGGTCAGACATGGTACTTGAAAATATGCTGCTAAGACCGATGTCAAACAGCATACTGCGCATGTTTTTTTCTAGAAGTTTAATGATTCCAGGTCTTGCATTAAAGTCTTTTTATCCATTTTGAGTTAATTTTTGTGTATGGTGTAAGATGATAGTCTACTTTCATTCTTTTTCATGTGGCTGTCCAGTTTTCCCAATACCATTTATTGAAGAGATTTTTTTCCCCATTGTATGTTCTTGGCTCCTTTGTTGAAAATTAGCTGTCCATGGATGAGTGGGTTTTTTTCTGGGCTCTCAATTCTGTTCCATTGATCTGTGTGTCTGTTGTTGTGCCAGTATCTTGCTGTTTTGGTTGATGTATCTTTGTAGTATATCTTGAAATCAGGGAGTTTGATACCTCCAGCTTTGTTCTTTTATCTCAGGATTGCTTTGGCTATTTGGGTTCTTTTGTTGTTCCATATAAATTTTAGGATTCTTTATTCTATTTCCGTGAAAAATTGTATTGGAACTTTGATAGGGACTGCATTGAATCTATAGATTGCTTTAGGAAGTATGGACATTTTAATATGTTAATTCTTCCAATCCAAGAGCACAAAATATCTTTCCATTTCTTTGTCTTCTTCAGTTTCTTTCAACGATTTTTTTTTAAAGATTGGCACCTGAGCTAACAACTGTTGCCAATCTTTTTTTTCCCTTCTTCTTCTCCCCAAAGTGCTCCAGTACATAGTTGTATATTCTAGTTGTAAGTGCCTCTGATTGTGTTATGTGGGACGCTGCCTCAGCATGGCCTGATAGGCAGTGCCATGTCCATGCCCAGGATCCAAACTGTCAAAACCCTGGGCTGCCAAAGCAGAGAGTGTGAACCTAACCACTCGGCCATGGGGCTGGCCCCTCAACAATGTTTTATAGTTTTCAGTGTACAGATCTTTCACCTCTTTGGTAAAGTTTATTCTCAGGTATATTATTCTTTTTGTTGCAATTGTAAATGAGATTGTATTCTTAATTTCACTTTCTTCTACTTCATTGTTAGTGTATAGAAACGCAACTGATTTTTATATGTTTATTTTGTGTCCTGCAACTTGACCATATTCATTTATTATTTCTAAATGTTTCTGGCTGGATTCTTTACCATTTTCTATATATAAAATCATGTCATCTGCAAATAGTGACACTTTTACTTCTTCCTTTCCAATTTGGATCCCTTTTATTTCTTTTTCTTGCCTGATTTTTTCTGGCTAAGACTCTCAATACTATAAGTAAGAATGGAGAAAGTGGGCGTCCTTGTCTGATTCCTGTTCTTAGAGGGATAGCTTTCAGTTTTTCTCCATTCAGAATGTTTTTAGCTGTGGTTTTGTCATATATGGTCTTTATTATGCTGAGGTACTTTCCTTCTATACCAATTTTATTCAGAGTTTTTATCACAAATGGATGCTGTATCTTGTCAAATGCTTTCTCTGCATCTATTGAGATGATCATGTGATTTTTATTCTTCATTTTGTTAATGTGGTGTATCACGTTGATTGATTTGCAGATGCTGAATGATCCCTGCATCCCTGAAATAAATCCCACTTGATCATAGTATATAATCTTTTTAACGTGTTGTTGTATTTGATTTGCTAGTATTTTTTAAAGGATCTTTGCATGGATGTTCGTCAGTGATATTGGCCCGTAATTTTCTTTTTTTGTGTTGTCCTTATCTCATTTTAGTATTAGGATAATCTTGGTTTCGTAGAATGAGTTAGGAAGCTTCCTCTCCTCTTCAATTTTTTAGAAGAGTTTGAGAAGGATAGGTATTAGGTCTTCTTTCAGTGTTTGGTAGAATTCACCATGGAAGCCATCAGGTTCTGGACTTTTATTTTTTTTGGGGGGGGGTTTGATTATTGTTTCAATCTCCTTACTGGTGATTTTTCTATTCAAATTCTCTATTTCTTCTGGATTCAATTTTAGAAGGTTGTATGATTCTAAGAATTTATCCATTTCTTCTAGATTTTCCCATTTTTCAGTGTATAGTTTTTTGTAGTATTCTCTTACAATCTTTTGTATTTCTGATATGTCTGTTGTAATTTCTCCTCTTTCATTTCTGATTTTATTTGTTTGAACCTCCTCTCTTTTTTATTGGTGAGTCCAACTAAAAGTTTGTCAATTTGGGTTATCGTTTTAAAGAACCAGCTCTTCATTCCATTGATTTTTTTCTAATTTTTAAAGTCACTATTTCGTTTATTTCTGTTCTGATTTTTGTTATTTCCTTCCTTCTACTGATTTTGCGCTTTGTTTGTTCTTCTTTTTCCAGTTCCCTTAGGTGCACTGTTAGATTATTTGTTTG